TAATCCAATAAAACAAAAAAAATCATAAATCTACTTAATATTTAAAATGATTATTGGTAACTGAAAAAAAATGTGTTGCTATTTTATGAAATGCTGTAATTTACAGTATAACTTGACAGGTGCGGAACTTAATTTCCCCTAAGGTCATTCAGTTCACTGATGAAGCGTAAAAAAATAGATGTCTTGTTCGTCATTAGAATATTTGACAAGGGTGATTAACCAATCAGGGCAACATTGTGCATGATCAAAAGGTCTGTCGGCACAGAGGCATACAAGGAGCAATAAAAATCGTTAGTACACAGTGTGACAGGAACATTTGGTGCAAATTAGGAACAATTAAAATGGATAATGCACAGTATTAGACATAAGTAGTAAGAACCAGCAATTGTGTGAATAAATTATGCAAATGAGATTTTTGAGCAGCCAATAAAAATGTTTTGCCTGCAGTTAATATTAGGCTACGATTACAAAGTAAATAAATACCACGCAGCATCATACGTTGACAGACATGTAAACAATTTACTTTTCAAAAGAGTTGCTTATATTTTTGAAATGTGTACATCACTACTAACATATGTTCACACCTTCTAATTTGAAAGTCAGAATCAAACTGCAAAAATTTAATTACGTGTACTATTAAGAACACGTTTTAGTAGGATTTTTATAATAATGATAATTATCGCCGTTCAATAATTAACAGCCAATTATTCGTTGGTGCGTTTGTTTATTTAATTGCATTATTTGATTGTGAACCTTTGTTAAATAATAACATGTGTATTTATTAACTCTGTGAAATATTGTTTAATTACATTAAGATGAGACTTTAATGAACATAGCATTGATTGGAGTAACGGGCATCACTGGCCTGAAGTGGTGCGACCGGTAGACGTTGATTTTTTATTAATGTTTCTTTATTTTTTTTTTTTTTTTTTTTGGATATTGTTACGTATTTTGAACCATAAAAAAATCTCCTCTACACCTCCTGTGAAAATTAAATTGTCTGGTCAATACTTTATTATATAAATATTTCGCTAGGATTCAACTAGATTTATTATAAATCTAAAGATGTGGGGAAATGACATCACGCGCACCTGTTTTTATACGGCCAATACACAAACATGGCCGCGCCTACTGATTTGTAGAAATCGGTGATCTAGCGATTTAAATTGCTTTATAATTCGTTTAATATTATTATTTGGCGGCAGAAAATTTGCAGATTTATTATTTATAGTATGCTTTTTCTGAAATCAAGTTTTTATTCTAACCTTGTCTTTCCCTTTAACCAGTATATGACCCACAAAAGAAGTAGACTGTGTCACTGTGTTTTAGTTTAGTTTATACAGTACTGGACACGCGAAACCGGCAAAAGTTATGCCGCGAGTGTAGTCTATGACGCGACGGGACATTACGCGGTAAAACATTGCCACGTGCAAGTTCGCCAAATTTCATGGCGGTTCACGAAAAATTGCCGTGATGTATCGCCGTAATTTACTGCAAATCAACAGCAATATTTGTATTAGAAAGTGCTACTTCGTCCCGCCCGGGGGTCTTTAATTTTCACTTAATACATATAGTAAACACTTTGAAAAAAATCTTGTAAATGTCATGTATATTTACTAATATTTAGCAATTGAACATGTACTTTGTACAGCGTATACATTTTGTATTCGAAAACAAAGCAATCAGGTGCTGGATGAAAATTAGTTAACAACAAATTGAGATTAAAATTACAAAATGTAATTGGAACTACATGTCCATGAAAGAACGCACGATAACAAATTGTCCAATTGTTACTTTGATAATAATACAAATGTAATTAAAATCCGTTGTTTATTTTCGCACATATTCTATTTTTAGAACAATACAGTGCGACATTTATTACCGATTCACAGGTGTAACTAATTATTACGTCTAATACGCTGATTATACATGTAATTGTTGAAAATTGTGAATGTTTTATCACTTAAATTGAGACTTTCTTTACTTTCAATTTCACGAGTAAAAAATGCCAGGTGCATGAGATGAGTAGGTGATGAGAAGCAAGATGCAAGTTGATTGGTCGACAATAAAATAATTTATTATTACAAAAAAATTACAAGATTTTCTTGATGCAACTTCATGTAGATCTACTAATTAATTTTCATACATGTACATAATTATATATCATTTAAATACAAATGTTTTCAAGTTCATAGAGTACAACATACATTTATTATACAAAGTAACATGTATTATTCCCGGCGAATCACGGCAAATGTTCACGGCAAAATCGCCGTGAGTTGAAATTGTGGGAATTGTCTCAAGTTGTCGCGAATTTACTCGCGTTATAAAGCATGAGGGTTCGCCGCGAATATGCGAATTGTGCGGGTTTTGCGTGTCCAGTACTGTACAAATTAATTTTAGTTCCATTGTGTTGGAAGCTTTAAGCTAATTGAAACACTCTTGAATCCGTTCCTGGAGCCAACCAGTACTAAGCAATGAATGTAAAGTTTCTTGCTCAAGGAAACAACCGCTTGCCGAAGTTGCCCCTGACAGAGTTTGAACCCACGCGGTCAGTAATCCTTAGATTACTAGTCCGACGCGTTAACCATCAAACGAAAGTTGTAGAACTGATGAAAAACCAAATGTGTACTTTTCCATTTTTAAAATAGAAAATGCTAAATTTAGCCTGGAGATGCCAAAAGTCATACTTTTCGTAAGTTTGAGCCAATTGTGATTTTCTTGGGCCAATTTAATTATTTTGGAGCCAATTTGCTCATTGACTCCTGCCAGTGCTAGCCCTGTTTGTGGTACAATTAAAATGGCAGCATCCAACAAAAAATGATACTAAAAATTTCACTGATGGGCATTGAATTCTCCATATTTTTCAATTGTTTTTTATTACTCCAATATCCCTTTTAAATACAGTCGACTCGCATTGGGACCGTCCAAAAAATACCGAGATAACAAAGTGTCGAGATAAAGGTACTAGGGTTTGAACAAGGCAGAAACTGATTTTTGCAAAAGACATGTGCATACTTTAAGTCATATAAATTAAATATGAATTATGATAACTCCATGTCTTGTTTTCTTTTAGCCTTATAAGAGCCTTATATCGCAAAGTCAACATTTATGAAAGTTACATAAGCGGATGTTTACCAGTGGAAATACTAGAGTCTGTGATAAAAACACATAGTGAGGTTTACTCAGTAATACACTACTAGCTAAAACGTTGATTTCAGCATAGTCAAACCAGATATCTTCCATGGTTGCTTTATAATTGGCCACTTCTCAATGTTGTTCGTCCATTGTTTGATTTTTATGTTGTAAAACAATATTGCAACAATAATGTTTCTATACTTTCACTATTCATTTATTTTACATTTCATGTCATAATGAATGTAATACCGTATAAGTACTATTTTCTGCGGGAACTTTATTTCTGCAGTTCATAACTACACCGCAGATTTAAAAACCGTAGAAAATTAAGCATTTCCATATGTATATGTCGGAATATGTCAACTACCGTTATTGTATAATTACATTATCATATACCGTTATCAGCTTTTATAGATGGGAATTTTTCTTTATGTATCTGTCGTGAATAAAATATTAGAAAAAATGTAACTTTGCTTGTTCTCTTTGTTTAATTAAATGCATGTATTATGTTTGTATGATTTTCGCTCACCCTTAGCTTGATTTTTTTGTAAAATCAAATCATTGTAGATTGACGGGTGCAATAAACATACCTTTTTGTATTTGTAAAATATCTTGTGTCTGCGTGCGATTTTGCCATTGTTTATTATTCACACTTCATATTTATACACATACAGTATTAAAATTGTTGTCATTGCACGTTTATTAACATGTCTATACCGATACATGATGATAACGACGAAACACATAATCAGTCGTCTGCATGTTAATTGGAACTAATGTACATGTTACATCAACAAATCTTGAAATGTTGTATGTTTGTGTCGGTTAATTTTGTAAACATATCTTTATTAAAACGCAGAAATAAAAAGCATCAATGCGAGAATGATGACACGGCAGAAATAAGATACGCAGAAATTAAAAACCCCATATTTTAAGAAAAATCGCAGAATATTAAGACCGCAGAAATAAGTACTTATACGGTAGTCTAATACGATGTTCGAATATTTTATAAATAACTGACAATTCATTCATTTTGGACATATTTAGTCAATCAACACACTAATTTTTTTACTTGAGCATAAACACATGTATTTGCAGAAATTGCTACTGTACATGGCAGAAAATTGTACATAAACCATTCTACAATGTTGAAATGTTAATGATAAACAAAAACAAGGTAAAACATTAACTACAAAGTCCAACAAATTAGAATTTCTTTCGACCAATTTTGAAATTTTTTTCATACATGACTCAAGTGGCCAATGACAGCAAGGGTATTGATTGTGATAGCAAATGCTTAGGCCTAAAAAAAAAATTGTTTTGTTAGGGTAACATGCTCTCAAGGAATAGGCTAAGGGTAGGTCGGATTTTTTTTTTTTTTTTTTTTTTTATTCACCAGTATGGAAATTTCTGACATCCCTCCCGGGTGGCACAAATACATCCCTTCTATGTTTTCAAAAGACATTTTAGGTGTAACAATCTTAAACTCTCGGCGTTCTGCCGTTTGGTGTCAGAAGATCACATGCCGTTTTACAAATATTGACAATGTGACCCGCCATTTTGTAACTAAGAGCAGCGATAAAACCTGTACCGTACCTCAATAATACGGTATTTTCTTCAATTTTTATTTTTTTTTGACACAAAAAAACGGTAGGGTCGGCGTATATTATTAGGTAGGGTCGGGTGACCCGAACAAAACAATTTTTTTTTTTAGGCCTTACAGCACTTTATTATAGAAATATATGAAAACATACCACTCATATATATAAAGTTATTATCAACTTAGCATATTATAAGATTTAGGATGATTTTACATTAAATTCCATTCTATAGTTTTATGATGCTGTTGACTATATTTTCAGGCTCCGGAGAGTAGCGAGCCAGCTGGCCGTACCTTACACATCTCGTACGTACCGAGTGCAAGATCAAAACGTCTTGTTAACGTTTTTCTCCTGATTATTGCCTTGCTGGTACTCAGTGCTGGAATCATTGGAGGTGTCTACCTGTACAAATATATGCAACACAGGGTTCGTATACATATATTTATTTACGTTTTGTCCAAATCATTTGACATTGCTGTACTTGCTTATATGTAAAAAAAACATGTATAAAAGTTTAGCATTGCTGAAATAATGGAATATGCATTGGTCTATTGTAACATTAGTTCAAGGGAATAATAGGGTGACATTTGCTCTTTGACCTAGATTAGAAGATTATCAAATGCCATTCACAATGCAAGTTAAAAAAAACCCGTAATATTCTTGTGAGATAAACAGTAGTGCATATCAGTTGAGTAGCTTTATACCTATAAATTAATGCCATTTTATACAAAATATGGCAAATTTTTTAACAATATAATTCAATGCTACTAATTAACCAACATGTGGTTTGCTGGAAAAAAAATTAAACATATAAAAATCACCTGTATATCATAGTTGTTTACTATCAATTAAAACTTTTCTGCACATTTACCAGGCTATATACATATGTACAAAGTTTACCTATTTTTGCTCTTTTAATGTGAAAATTCATTGAATTAACTAGTGTGCCAGTTTGAATTTAAAGTGTGGCAGATCCATTCAGCAACTATACAAGTGGTACAGTTAGGGATATGACCATCATGTCGAAATATTGGAGAATATCACAAATTGACAAAAATTCACTAAAATTTCCACTAGTCTTATTATGTTAATTTAAACCAACCTGTCATTTAATTCTACTCTTGCATGATTCGCTAGTATTTCCTCACACAAAATATCAGGGAATTTTAAATTCGCCAACCTTTCAACAGGAGGAAATAATTATCCACTTATATGGTTAGAATTAGTTGTTATATAATTACAGCACAGAGTTTCAAGAATCTCCGTACAGTATGAGGATGACAAACCAAAGCCAGACCATCAGACGGAGTCAGTGACGTACATGACGATGGAGGAAGACATTGATATCCGCATTGAAGAGGAGCTCGAGAGGATTGAAGTCCCAAGATTTGACGAGTGCCGCCAGTCCGTTATCTTACACGATTTCCACATGGTATTTACATACATTTTCTTGTTTAAAGGCACATTATGTCTAAGAAACATATAATTTTTTACCTTTTTAGAAAGAACAAATATAAATTTTATAATGTTTGAATAATGGCTTTAGGGAATGCTTGATGTCTATTATGTGTATAATATCATAAAGTGATAAATGTTAAATAATTTGTCACCAAAGTAGCGAAATGTAAACAATCTTAATTTTTTGACTTCGATACTATTATTTTACAATACAAAATACTATTTCACTATAACACTGTTATAGTTAAACAGTACTTTTTGCCAAAAAGCAACAGATGAAAAAATTGGTTCAGGTACATGCTGTAATTGGCCAATGAGTTACTTTTTAGATACCACAGGGTTTTTTTTCCAGGATTTTGGGAACATGAACCATACACATGGAATTGAGAATTTCAGCAATGTTTTCTTACAAATTGGGAAAAATTGCATGACTTTAATTTTACAGTGATTAAATGAATGCAAAGAATAACTGTCTATGATGGCATCTGCAAAGATTTAAAAACCTTAACAGTGAAGAAGCCCTAATTTTCAAAGATTTTATAATTTGTTATTCAATATTTTTATTTTGTAACTTTCAAATTGAAACTTCCTGTGTATTGGGAAAATGATAAACTATTTTCAATAGGGAATATGACCAAATATCGGCTATGAAATAATGCAAAAAAATCCCTGTACCAGAGAAGTACACATAAGATAAAAAAAACTTTGAGAAATAAAAATAGAAGGCATTTCAGGGCTAAATGGGCCTTTAAAGCAGCATTCTTCCATATAAATGCCATTTTCATGAAAATTTTGAAAATGTATTATAAAAGTTAAAAACTTTGAGGTAATTAAAACATTGCAAATGTCATTTTCAATCCATGTAAATTAATACCAATAAGAGCTCAAAATATGCAAAAATAGCCCTTTACTGTGTAAGTCACACAGGAGAAATATGGTGATAAATACAGCAAAATCAGCCATTTATTGCACATAACATGTAAATTTATTATTACTTGAATCTTGAATATTTTTACCTTTCTTTTAATCTTAGTATATAAATTTATTCAAAATTTGTAATTACTTAAATCATGAATCTTTTTACTTATTTTAAAATCTTAGTACATTTTTCTGAAGTTTGATTTTTCTTGAAATATTTTGAATCATCTTTGAGAATCTTTATAAAACTGAAAAAGTTTTATATGGAATGTTTATTTAATCAACTGCTTATGTTGTTCATCGCTAAATCGTGAATAGTCAGCTGAACTTTTGGCTATTATTTTTTTCAGTTAAAAATATTGGCTATTATTTTATTTGAGCCTGTGTGAGCCCATGATACAGCTTTAATTGATGTTACATAATAATGCTGTTGACCTTAATATCATGAAATTTTAGTGCTTTAATGAAATATAAATTAGTTATACTGTACCATTATCTTAATTTGATATATAAATTATGTAGTGCAATTAATTAATTAATTCTACCAACAAAATGCATGTGGAAAGCTAAAGCTAGATTTATTACTTTGATCAGTTACTAATTGAGTAACAGTTTGGTTGCTTTATGAATATTTTCAGTAATGTACAACAAATATAGATATTGGCAACTTGCATAGATTTAAATGTCAATTTTCTGGCTGAAATTGTCGATATACATGTAATGTACATACAATGTACCAAGTCATCTGTCATATTGGATCATTGAAATGTTTTGTGTGTTAGATAAGTTTCCAAGGTTCATTAAAATGTAATAATTTGCCAAAGCAAATGTCAAAGTAATAATAAACATCGTACTATGTATTGTAAAGTTTTTACATTTTCATATATATAACAAACTGACATATTGTAAAAATAGAAATAATATTCATTGCGAGAAAATAAAGTTATATAGAGAAAAAACACCCTCAGATTTAATACTTTAGAGTGACACTATCCTCAGTTTTTCAAGTTTAGTTGAATTGCCTTTATACTTAAAAAGATTCATTATCATATGGTCCATGTAATTGACCAATTGCCTACATTATAATTTTGTTATTATATTTAAAAAGATTGACTATTATATGGTAAAAAATGGATGTTTAGGATGAAATAAACAACTGCCTGAAATATAAAATGACTGCCCCACTGTTTTGTTTTTTTTATTGAACGTTAACAATACATTCAGATTCCGAAAGATATTTATAGAATTTTCTGTGAGTCACATGGGTTATTCAATTCATTATACACATGAACTAGACTATAAAATTGAAAGCAATTATGGGAAAATGAAAGGTTATTTTTACTTTGATCTGTACACTCACCTTTTACACTCGATTAATACATGTATAATTGCTGGATTGTCCTGCGGTCACTAAAGTAATGACTATTGGGAACAATAAGTTATTGTAAATATTCTTGAAAGATATATCATTCTATTTCTCTTATGCATCCAAAAAATGTTGAGAATAGTGAATTTTACAGACTGTTAACAATTTTATGCAAATTGGCTGACTTGCTATTTATCTGCTTCACTGCCGATAATAAATATTCATTAGTTGACCTAATTTACACAAAAAAAAACATTTGATTTTGTTTGTGAGCAATTGACTTAGTAATGTCAATAGAAAAGGCAAGAATAAATTTCTTTACTGCTAAAATTGGGTCAATCTCATGGTCACGAAGGCTAAAAATAGATTTTCCATATTTAGCTCACTTGAGAACATAATTTCCCTATAGAAGGGCCTAGTTGCTTTTTATTCATCACAAACCTCTACAAATGGGTTGAGTTTTAGGTCAATTGGGTCATGGTTAAAAAAAAAGGTCGCTCTCAGAGGTTTAGGTGAAAAATAGAATTTCCTACATAACCTAATAGTATGGCCATGTTTTTTACGTAACATCAGCGAGGATATGTCAATGTTACTGAGATTTTTCTTTGTTGTAGAACTACACAGTGATTGTTGACAATGAAGATCAGGAGTGCTTTATCATGGATCTTGACAGGAAGCAAATAAGCCCACCAAAGTCATTCGCTGAGCTCATCAGAAAATACTCAGTAAGTATAAAATATACATCCTATTTACAAGTATTTTCTAGGCGAGTCTTTCATATAAAATAAGTTTAAAACCATTTAAAAAAATATTTTTTGATCAGCCTCTGGATGTAATAGGTCTCATAAACAAAATCGTACGTACAAAGGAAACATGACATGACTGGTAAGAAGTACTTGTACATGTACATGTGGCTTTTCCTTGGGATAGCCAGCAATTTGTAGGAATAGAAATAAAGGCTCTTAATTCACTGGTAAATGGATTGATCACTTACAAACACTGTAACACATTATTCTTTTGAGGGACATGTTATACATGATTCTTCATATATTTCTGTTATTGGTATTGGTGTATTGATTGGTACCAGTATATATTGGTACCAGTCAGTATAACACTATTGATACCAGTGTATATTGATTGGGACCAGTGAATATTGATTGGGACCAGTGAATATTGATTGGGACAAGTGAATATTGATTGGGACCAGTGAATATTGATTGATACTGGTGTATACTGATTGGTACTGGTGTATATTGGTACCACTCAGTATTGGTACCAGTGTAAATTGGTTGGTACCAGTGTAAATGGGTTGGTACCAGTGTAAATGGGTTGGTACCTGTGAATATTGATTGGTACCTGTGTAAATTGGTTGGTACCTGTGAATATTGATTGGTATCAGTGTAAATTGATTGGTACCAGTGTAAATTGGTTGGTACCTGTGAATATTGATTGGTACCTGTGTAAATTGGTTGGTACCTGTGAATATTGATTGGTATCAGTGTATATTGATTTGTAATAGTGTAAATTGGTACTGGTGTATATTGATTTCTCAGTTTATGTGACAACCAGGGTTAAAAATAGAAAAAATTCTTTGAAACAACACCAGGCAGGTCTTTGGAATGGTCATCACTAAATAGGACATAAAATATCGTCAAGTGATTCCCATAGTATTCTCTATACAGTTTCTTCATATAATTTGTCTTGCATCTTTTGTGCCTTCCAGAGTAGCTAAAAATAGAAAAATCTTTTAATTTCTTCTTCTGGATTGATATTTGCTAAGAAACAAACCTGATAATTACTTAGTGACCTACTTTGGCAGAAGTTTTTCACAGAAGTTTTTCACAGTAAATAATAAAAAGGAAAAAGAATTATCCAGAATAAACTCATAAACCAGTGTTACATTTTATTGTTTGTGTTAGATATATATTTGACAAGTATATATAAATTATCTTATTATAAAGGAAAATGTATTAAGTGTTTGTAAGTAGATTGAAAGGGAAAGGGAAGTTCTTGTTAATGAGCTATTGAGAATAAATGTTATACAAAATGTCAGTTATACAAATGTCAATATACATAAGTGGCATTTTGTTTGATGTACAAGTTTTTCTGTTTGTTTTGTTTTGGTTGGGTTTTACATTGCATCAGCTAGATAGAGGTCATTTGGTGAATTAAAACTTTCCAGCTTTAATGGTGGAGTGCCCCTCCATGCATTATTTCAGGCACGAATTGGCACCTGAGTAGAGTCACTTACATTTAGTTAGTTGGCTGGATGCATGTAGCTTCCTCACATGAAAGAATTCAAATTCCCTGGCAGGAGTTGAACCCAAAGTGGTGCGGGCCAGTGGTTTGAAGTCAATGACTATAACACGTGTCCTCACCCATGCATGCCCCCATTGTTTTAGTGTAGACTATGTAAATAGATAGCTTTGTTCCATAGAAATGATAAGATCTTCTTATTCTATAAATTGTGTTTGAAAAGGCTAATTGGATAAAGGAAGTCCACTTGAAAATTTGTTCAATTTTGAAATATAATATCACAAATGTATAACAAATATAGACATGGAGAGTTTTACCACAAACTTCCTTTGTAAGACATTGTACTTGTTGAAATAATATATTTTTTTGTTTGTTTGGTTTTTTTAGAGGAAAACTTAAAGAAATTTCCTCATAATTAAAGTGCATTAAGTGACTAAGAATTATTATAATTATGAGAAATTTGATACATGTATAGTCAAGAGAAATAAGATTTGATCTGTTTATTATGATATGTTTATAAACTTGTTTATGTTTATAAACTTGTTTATATATGATTCATTAATTAAAACATAATATTTAAAACTTAAAACAGTTAAATTAAGTTTGATATACATGTAAATAGGAACATTTTAGTTCTCCATTTGTTGGCCAGGTTTATTAGGCCTAATTTATTTGGCCAAGTGTTATTAAGGTGTTAGGACCTTATTTTTAGCTCACCTGAGCATATGCTCAGGGTGAGCTATTAGGATCACTCTTCGTCCGTCGTCTGTCTTACGTTGTCCATTCACACTTTTCAAACGACATCTCCTCTGAAACCATAAGGCAGATCATAATGAAACTTCACAGGGATGTTCCTTGTGTGAAGCCTTAACAAAGTTGTTCAAAGAATTCCATTCCATGCAGAACTCTGGTTGCCATGGCGACCAAAAGAAAAAACTTAAAATATCTTCTAGTAAAAAACCCAAAGAGCTAGAGCTTAGATATTTGGCATGGAACATCTTCTAGTGAGTGTCAACCAAGTGGGGTCAAAATTGGCCCCGCCCCAGGGGGTCTTTGATTTTCCTTTTATGTATATAGTAAAAACTTAAAAATATCTTCCTTTCAAAACCTCAAATAGCTAGAGCTTAGATATTAAGAATGAAACATCTTCTAATGAGTGTATACCAAGATTATTCAAATAAAAGCCCTTGGGTCAAAATTGGCCCCGTCCCAGGGGGTCATTGATTTTCCCTATATGCATATAGTAAAAACTTAAAAAATCTTCTTCTAAAAAACCGAAAGAGCTAGAGCTTAGATATTTTGGCATGAAACATGTTCTAATGGACGTCTACCAAGTTTGTTCAAATAAAAGCCCTGGGGTCAAAATTGGCCCCGCCCCTGGGGGTCATTGATTTTCCCTATATGCATATACTAAAAACTTAAAAAAATTTCTTTTAAAGAACCCAAAGAGCTAGAACTTAGATATTTTAGCATGAACATCTTCTAATCGGTGTCTACCAAGATTGTTCAAATAAAAGCCCTGGGGTCAAAATTTGCCCAGGGGGTCATTGATTTTCCCTATATGCATATAGTAAAAACTTAAAAAAATCTTTTTTTAAAGAACCCAAAGAGCTAGACCTAAGATATTAAGCATGAAACATCTTCTAATGAGTGTCTACCAAGATTGTTCAAATAAAAGCCCTGGGGTCAAAAAGTGGCCCCGCCCCAGGGGGTCATTGATTTTCCTTATATGCATATAGTAAAAACTTAAAAAAAATCTTCTTCTAAAAACCCAAAGAGCTAGAGCTTAGATATTTGGCATTTAATATGTTCTAATGGATGTCTACCAAGTTTGTTCAAATAAAAGCCCTGGGGTCAAAATTGGCCCCGCCCAGGGGGTCATTGATTTTCCCTATATGCATATAGTTAAAACTTAAAAAAATCTTCTTTTAAAGAACCAAAAGAGCTAGACCTAAGATATTAAAGCATGAAACATCTTCTAATAAGTGTCTACCAAGATTGTTCAAATAAAAGCCCTGGGGTCAAAATTGGCCCCGCCCCAGGGGGTCATTGATTTTTCCTATATGCATATAGTAAAAACTTAAAAAAAATCTTCTTTTAAAGAACCCAAAGAGCTAGACCTAAGATATTAAGCATGAAACATCTTCTAATAAGTGTCTACCAAGATTGTTCAAATAAAAGCCCTGGGGTCAAAATTGGCCCAGCCCCAGGGGGTCATTGATTTTCCCTATGTGCATATAGTAAAAACTCAAAAAAATCTTCTCTTAAAGAACCCAAAGAGCTAGAGCTAAGATATTAAGCATGAAACATCTTCTTATTAGTGTCTACCAAGTTTGTTCAAATAAAAGGCCTGGGGTCAAAATTGGCCCCGCCCCAGGGGGTCATTGATTTTCCCTATATGCATATAGTAAAAACTTAAAAAATTCTTTTAAAGAGCTAGAGCTAAGATATTTAGCATGAAACTTATTCTAATGGGTGTCTACCAAATTTGTTCAAATAAAAGCCCTGGGGTCAAAATTGGCCCTGTCCCAGGGGTTATTGATTTTCCCTATATACATAGAGTAAAAAGTTAAAAATCTTCTATTAAAGAACCAAAAGAGCTAGAGCTAAGATATTTAGCATGAAACATGTTCTAATGGATGTTTACCAAGTTTGTTCAAATAAAAGCCCTTGGGTCAAAATTGGCCCTGCCAGGGAGAGGGGGGAGGGGGCAAAAGTCATTGTTATTCATTATTTGTGTATAGTAAAAACTTAACATCATGAAATATTTTTTAATGGGTGTCTTCCAAGTTTGTTCAAATAAAAGCCCTTTGGTTTAAACTGGCCCGGCCCTGGGGGCCTATGTTCAGGTGAGCGACCCCAGGGCCATCATGGCCCTCTTGTTTTAGGTTTATTGTCTTTGTTTATTGGACCTGGTGTATCTGGGTTATTAACTTATTTGACCTAGTTTATTTTGTTTGTTTGTTGGATCAGGTGTAACCTTGGCTATTTGACCTGTTTTATTGGACTGTTTGATTGCACCTGGTGTATCTAGGTTTTTGGACCTAGACTTTATTTTTCTGGTCTATTGGACCAGGTCTTACCTGGGCAGCCTATTTGACCTGTTTTATTGTTCTTATTTATTGATCTTATTTATTGTCCTGTTTTATTGAACCTGGTATAATCTAAGTTATTGGATATGTAATATTGTTGATTGACCCGGTCTATTGGACCAGGTCATTACTTTGATATTAGACTTGGTTTATATTAGACTTGGTTTATTGTTTTTGTTTATTAGACTGTATTATTGAACAAGATGTTATCAGGATTATTGGGTCTGGTTTATTGGCTTGGTGTTTTATTCAACCTCTGTGACATAAAACAGCTATGAAAATTTAATAGTACAGGAAGTATGATCCTGAAGCATTGATATATATATAGAGGATATTGCACGAGTGTAAGTTTAATGCTAAATTTATTGAACAAGTTGAATAAAATCATCTTATGTGAGCCTGTGGCGAGTTAAAAAAATCTAGTATTGAATCTACACGAATATAATATTCTATTTATGACATATATGAAATAAGAACGGTAAACAGTTAAAAAAGAGTCTTTTTCATTGACGCTTCTATAATGATTAATGTGATAAATCTTTGTTTTACAGTCTGGATACTACATGCCACGTGTAGATGTCGTCAGACGTGACTACCGCGTCATAACTCCTGCTCTGAAGAACCTTCAGTTTGCTGGTCCCGCCATCGCCATGGAATGTGCACACTACGACTCATACAAACTTGAGAAGAGGGAGCCAGTTCCACTGATTGGTAAAATTTGTTTTCCAATAAAACTGTTCATGTGTACCTCTCATTGTAGGGTTTGTAATATTGCACCCTATTGGACTCCTTTTTGGAATCTCTAACAAGTGGTCTGATAAAAGGCTTAAGTTTTACCCTTTATTTTCATGTCATCCACTATTAGGGGGCGGGGGCATATAGATTTGCCTTTGTATGTTTAGCTGTCACCGTGTTGTGCAATCATGCTGTCCATCCATTGACAGTCAAAGCAATAAAATGTGGGGTAGTTACCCATGGATACATTGCTAATTTGGGAGTAAGTTTCTTCATTACTCAATTAAAAGTTATTATTATGGTGACTCAGGTATAAAAAAAGTGCTGTTAGCAAGACAAATGGCTTCCCAACAACAGTGTAAGAAATTCGGATTTGAAACCACTAGGCTGGTCGGACTACCAGATTGGAATATTCACTAGCCCAAAAGACATTTCACTAGCACGATTCATTTGTTCAAAACGGTTGCTTATATTGCCTCTGAAAATACAGTAGCCTGGCCGGGCTTGTTACTTTGAAAAGTTGGTAGCCCCAGGAGAAATTTAGTAGTCGGGCTATAGGACTACTGCTAATTTCGAACTCTGCAGAATCGAAAATCTGTATTATATATCAATCCACATCCACAGTACTGAGTGGCGAGGTGGCAAAAAATTGCAAGCATAGTGCAAATTGTTTAAAGCAACTTTAGTCTTTACACTTAAGTTTTTTATGTAAATATATAGTTCTTTCTTTTTGAAATAGAAAATTTATTGGCTCTCTAAAATAGAAGATTTATTGGCTCTCTTAAATATATTAGATTTATTGGCTCTAGTAAATAGATAATTTATTGGTTCTCATAAATAGATAATTTATGAGAAAATATAGGTTTTCTAATATAAAGATTTAAAATAGGAAATTTATTGGCCTTTTCAAATAGGAGATGTATTGGATTTATAAAACAGGAGATTTATTGGCTCTCTTCAATGAAAATATTTGCTTATGCTACTTTTCTTTTACTACATTAAACATCCATTTTATACAATACATGGTTCAGAAGAAATTGACAACTGTTTGCATGTAAAATAATTCTGTTTCTATAATTATATAAGATTTCTATTATATGAGTTCAAGGTAACAGTGTCAAACGGTCCTGTTTTTATTTCAGAGTTCCACTTCAAATACGTGAAGACATACGGATTCAGTAACTTGCGGCAGGTGATCAAAGATCGTATTATGAAATAGATTGAGGCACGATGAACAATGTCCCGTACTTTCTATATATATCTCATCTCAAAACCAACACGTCATCGATTGCCTAAGAAAAGTTTATATATCGATTGTTTGTATATTTTCATACATTGTGTAAACTGTAAACGTTGAAAACTTTTTTTCTGAATAATAATCATCTTGAATAGGTGGCTTTTGAGCTCTTATTGCTTACTGGATGTGGTAAATAACGGAAGCTGCTGCATATGATTATCGGAAGTGTTTTAATGATTAATTTTTTTTTGTTCCATGATTTATCGTCAAAATTGATATAATATATTTGTCTCATTAGTGCAGTACCGTGTTAACTTGTATAAAAATTTAAGAGGAAATAATCTGTTACTGAATTAACGAAAATTGCTGCATACCGGAAGTGTTTAAATATTTTCTTTTTTCTGTTCCTGAATTATCGTCTAAATTAATATACAATATTGTCACATTATTGCAGTAACGTGTTAACTCATATAAAATTTAATGGGAAATAACCCGTTACTGAACTAAGATGACAAAAGATCGTCAACAACTTCTTTTAGATTATGGCTATCAATATAATGGAATGAAAGAATTAAGGAAATTGGAAACACTTGAAAATATTGAAATATATTCGAGGCTTATGAAAATCCAGTGGTACATGTACGTGTAAGTATGTAAAATACCTGATAATGCAATATTGAACAGCAATTATCAAAATATTGTTAATGTTTTTTTAAGCTCTTTGTTTAATAATCAGTTAAGTAAATTGTATTTGGACCAATAGTTTTAAATGTGCATTTGTTGGAAATTATATTTTTATACTTTTTTTTTGACACAGATAAAAAATGTCATAAGTAATATAACTGCTTTTATATGATTAGAACAAATAGGGCAAATAAGTCTTAATTTTTATCTAAAAATTCCATCAGTAGTGTGATTCAGAATATGATTTGAGAAATTCCTGTATTAAATATATAGAATTTAAAGGGAAATAACGCTTTATTGATTTTATTCTGTAATGAAGTAATGAAAGCCATGTTTTTCAACAAGTTAAGTTTGTTAATGCAGTATTATGGTAAGAAATGATCTGTCAGTACCACCTTTATGTATTGGTACCAGTGTGTATTGGTAACAGTGTGTGTTGGTACCAGTCTGTATAGGTACCAATGTGTGTTGGTATCAGTCTGTATTGGTACCAATGTGTGTTGGTATCAGTCTGTATTGGTACCAATGTGTGTTGGTATCAGTCTGTATTGGTACCAATGTGTGTTGTTATCGGTGTTTATTGGTACTGATGTGTGTTAATATTGGTGCATATTGGTACCAATATGTGTTGGTACTGGTATGCATTGGTACTGGTATATTAATTGGTACCAGTACATATTGGTACTGTGTATATTGGTACAGGTATAGTGAGCTGAATACAACAGTTTTTAGTGCTGTTTAAAACTAAAGTACAGTATCAATCACTAAACACTTTTAAAACTGGTCATATTTAATATCCAACTATGCTTCTCATTTCTATGTATAATCTTGTTTTTTTATCACTTTTGTATAATATATAATAATATTCCTGTTGTCATCATAATATAATCTCACAGTTTAAGAGAGATGTTTGAATCAATGTGTTATTTCACATATATACATGGTAAAGTACCTGCAGAAATAAGTGCCTAAATTGAATAAATTTTGGTTGAAAGAAACGCTGGCTTGAAGAAAGTAAACTGGGTAAGACAGTAATGGTTGATTGTGATGGGCAGACAGTCCCAGGGGTTTTTGGAAAACTTTGAAAACAAAATATTCTTTTTAAATTTTTGCCCAAAAATTTATCCCGGTCACATTTTTTCGACCTTTAAAAAACCTTTGGGTGTGTTGCAAAAAATTTTGGACTGACTGCAGTTATTGGAACACGGGTTTTTACCGTATTGTTGGCACCATCAGAGAGTATGCTATGGGAAAGAAGATATGGATTCTTGCACCTCAGTCTGTAAATATTACCATTAATGTCATATTTTTATTTGGACGTCGTTAAGTTTACTTTTTGTCACCATGGTAATCAAGATAGTATACATGTATACTTCAGTTCTGTCTTTATATTCTAGTTAAATAAGACCGTTTATCACAAACCCGTGCCGATTTTGCGACTCCGTAAATATGGTATTGCACGGTGCATATATTTTGACGTGACGTCATTAGCGTTATGCAAACATAGTGTAAAGACGCGCTAAATGTTAGTGTTCTACTATAGGCGCGTCAACGGAAAATAACTCTTATTTCACTTTAAACGGTCTTTATTTTGGGTATGTGATAAATAGAATATTAAATTCGTGTAAGTTCATTACTGAATTTATTGCACTCGTTGAATAAAATAATATTATGCTCGCCAGAGGCTCGCATAATATAATTTTTATTCAACTCGTGCAATAATTTCAGTATTGAACTTACACTCATTCAATATCCTCTATTTGTACTATATTATTTTTAAACAAGAAAAAAATGTCAAACATTAATATTCTATATATCAGAGACAAATAATTCAATTGTAGCATGAGTCGAGGTTATAAATGATGTAACCTCCTGGGGAAGCAGCCCTTCCCAAGTAAGATGACATTTTTGTAAAAGGGAAAAATAAAATATTGATGTCAGTTCAATTTTTTGGGAAAACTGCATGATTTTTTTAAAGCTGCCCTTAATTGGCCCCTGCTAGAAGAAAAAAAATCTTGTCACTTTAAGACATAAATGATAATTTTAATCAGGGACTTTTTAAGTGACCCTGATTAAATCAAATTTTCTTTTAAATTCAATATGAATTGTTAGGTAATTTTTTTCTCTCTTTTTTTTGTCTCGGTTACAGTAAAATTGTGCATTGAAGACTATATAATATAAAATAGTTATGCACCTTTAGGGAAAGATAATGTGTCAGAATTTAAGTACACATGTATCTACAAGTGCTTTTATGTGATAATGAAATTTAAAAAGTACATCAGTTCTGCACTTTTAAAAAAAGTACATATGCATTCAGAGGAAGTGATTAAATAATGTGCTGAGGTACATGTACACTTGTACAATTCGAGTGTTTTACGGTGTATGAAAACCTTTAACCAGACTGTGACAAACTGTAAACTTTGTTCATTTTGTTTTCTATGTGTTTTTGCATCAAAAGTCTCTGTTCTGTAAATAGTGTCTTGTTGGTAAAGTATTTGTAATGAAAAGATTTTCTTTTTTTTTCAGTTATACTTTTAAAGCAAAATGAATAAAGTTATCAAAAGTGATTATTAGATATACACAAAAATTGTGTATATTTCTTTAAAAAAATTTTTTTTGTTTTGTTAGTTGTTAGATGTTTTTTATAGAGTTTTTTTTTTACTTTAAATCAGAGCATTGGTAAAATACCTTTTTTACTTGAACCATTTTTGAAAGATTTTAAAAATTTTACTTGTTGTTTATTGTTACAACTTGAAGTGGATTTAATCAACTTTGAGTAAAAATAAGTCATTTAATTTGGCTGTTTTTGTTTTGGTGTTTATTATCTTTACAGATTGAAGTTAAGATTTTTTTTCATACTTTAAAAAAGTTTAAATAACTATGTTTTAATATGTTGGTGAATTAAGCTTCTTTGTTTTGCTTTTTCCTCAGATTCTAAATCTGAAAACTGCTTCCAATTTTTTTGTTCGACAGAAAATTAAGACTGTGTTTGTATTGTATTAGAATCATCAAATAAAATCTATTTCTAAAGTTAAAATGATTTTGTTGAAAATTTATTTCTAACTTGTCTGTTTCGAAGAAAAATTTGAGCTATTATGATCATTGCATTGTTGTTGTTGTTGTCTACTTAAATGTAGCCCATTATGCAAACATTTCAAAAGTTACCAACATGAACTTAGAATACTTAAATCGATACTTGCTTATCATGGTTAAAAGGGGCATAATTCTGAAAGTAATATTTTTGGAGTTATCCTTTAACGAATTGGGAGAGCTTTTGTTCTCACCCAAGCATTGGCCTCACACTTTGGTGAAGTGTTTGCGTGCACGTTAATATCTCCAAAACTAATAAAGGGGATAGGTTGAAACTTCACACACTTACGCTAGAAGGTCACTGCCCAAGGCCCATAACTCAAACCGGTATTTTGACAGAACTATGGCCATTTTTGAACATAGAAAATTCTACATTATCCAATTTTTTTACTAACAACCATTGAGAATAGTCGAGCATTCTGTCCTATTGTGCAAAAGGATGAGGAATGCAGTACAGAATCAATTTTCTTCAACTTGTTATCAATTTCAAGAGTCTCAACTGAGTTTTTTTATACATGTTGATTATTCATGTTAATACAGAGGAAATGCGTAATGCATTACTATGATGAAACTGGTGGTGCTCATGTTTGTGCTGATGATGATGAAAATTTAGATGTTCGTGATGATGATGAAGATAATAGTGATGATGATGAAGAAGATAATAGTGATGATGATGAACATAATAGTGATAATGATGATATGATAGGCGATGATGATGACTATAAAGATGATATTGATGATGACGGTAGCAATGACGATGATGATAAAGGTTATCGATGATGATAGTGGTGATAACGATGGCATTGCGTAGGCAATGATAATAATGATAGTGATGATAATGTTGATATTGATGAAAATGGCAATGATGAAAGTGATGATGATGGTGGGGATAATATGGATAATGATGATAATGGCAATGATGATAGTGATGATGATGATAATAAAGGTAATGTTGATAATGGCAATGATGATAGTGATGATGATGGTGATGATAATAAAGATAATGTTGATAATGGCAATGATGATAGTGATGGTGATGACAATAAAGGTAATGTTGATAATGGCAATGATGATAGTGATGATGATGGTGATGATAATAAAGATAATGTTGATAATGGCAATGATGACTGATGATGATGGTGGTGATGATAATAAAGATAATGTTGATAATGATGATAATGGCAATGATGATAGTGATGATGATGGTGATGACAATAAAGGTAATGTTGATAATGATGATAGTGATGATGATGGTGATGACAAAAAAGGTAATGTTGATAATGGCAATGATGATAGTGATGATGATGGTGATGATAATAAAGATAAGTTGATAATGGCAATGATGATAGTGATGATGATGGTGATGATAATAAAGGTAATGTTGATAATGATGGCAATGATGATGATGAAGATGATGATTATCGTGATGATGATAGAAATGAAGACGATTATGATGATAATGATTATACGTACCATTTGATTTAAATGTAACACACTTTTACGATTAAATTTACTTTTACTTGAGGATAAAATCTAACAAAATATAAACATCTAGAATAAGTACAAAATCATTTGACTCTATGGAAACATTACAATTGTTTACATGTGATACTCTAAACAATAACAGTATCGCATGATTTTATTTAACAATTTAATTTTAACTTCTTTCTTGTTGGTATGTTAAACATATATAGATATTTAAATCAATAGTGCAACATTGCAATCACACTCGGTTATGGAACGCCATAGCTGCCTCACGTTGTTACATTTCGTTTTATTTTCCCCTAAAAGCATCTTATTATGTATAATAGAAGTGTTGGCTTGCCAACGTTTTATGAGAACCTGTCTTAACGAAGTCTTGTTAGGTCAAATATTCATTTTCTCTTGCCAAAACGTAGTGCTGACTTGTCTAAACACTGTCTTATTATTTGAAAACGTCATGTTATCATGTGCAAATCCGTTGTTAACATGCCGAATGGAAGTCTTACTATGTCTAACATGCACGCCATCTTTTCACATAAGACAATTTCTAGACAAATTACCACTACAGTTAAACTTTGACAAGACAGCATGCATGCTATTTTGACATAAAAGACATTCTCTAAGCAAGATAACACCGAATTTGAACACAATGACATGGCAGTCTGACAAAATGTGACGGTGTTTAGACAAGTCAATACCACATTTGGACAAGACAAAACGACAGTATAACATAATACAATAGTGTCATAACATACCAGGATCTTATTTGGACAAGATGACACCAACTTCCGACAAGATAACACTACTGCTCTACATGATAAGACATGAGTTCAAGACAATTCAACACCACATTTAAACAAGTCTGTGTTAAGACATATTGAAATCTTAATTCGAAAAGATGGCGTGCATGTTAGACATAGTAAGACTTCCATTCGGCATGTTAACACCGGATTTGCACATGATAACATGACGTTTTCAAATATGACACCAAGTTCCGACAAGAAATAAAATTACTATCTTTTTGTCAGTGTCATTTTATTTTGTCATGGTTCAGTGTTAATTTTACTGAACATCGTCCTTTTATGGCGAAGTATCATTTTTCCTTTTCAAATGTGGTGTTTACTTGTTGAAACACAGTATCATTATGTAGTACAAAGGCGTTAACTTGCCAGTTTATGACGTAAACATGTCTACACGCCGTCTCATTATGTCAGATAATCGTGTTATCATGTCCAGATGCGATGTTGTCAAAATTTAGTATCACGTGACCAGAGCCCGCGCTGAGCGTGAAAAGATAGAGCAAAAAAGGTAACGGGACAGTTTAGCAAAATCAGACAGCGCTTTCTCAAGACGGAACTAAATTTGAACAAATTAACACAATTATTAGACATAATAAGACTGTTTCTGTGCTTAACAAGAAAACATCAAATTTCGAAAATATAACAATTCTGTTTTACATTATAAGAAAGAGTTTAGACAAGTCATTACCACATTCGGCAAGATACCACAATTTTTTGACTTTATAAGACTGAGTTTTAACCAGTCAAAACTTCTTTTTGACAAAATAGCATACAGTTTATCATAATAAGGCATGATTTAGCCCAGTCAACACCCCATTTCGGCAAGATAATTCGAATATTTGATATAAAAAGACAACTCAGTATTGTACGTTGGCAAATTAACACAGTTGTTTGACACAATAAGACAATGTTAAGGCATTTAAACACCGTATTTTGACGAAATTCCATGGCAGTTTGATAAAATAAAGCTGTGCTTTTACAAATCAACACCAAGTTACGACAAGAGAACATTACTGTTTCAAATGATCAGACAGTCTTTTGACAAAACAGCTCCAAAATTTGACCAAATATCGCGACTAGGTGACATAATATGACACATTTCAGACAAGCCAAAACGACATTTTGACATGATAACACTACTGTTTGAAAAAATTAAACAATGTTAACACCAGTCAACATCACATTTTAAAGAGATAAGACTACTGTTACGCATAATAATGCAATGTTTAGACAAGTCGTCACATTACAATGGCATTACAACGCTTATATTTGACATAATAAGACGCTTTCTGGGCAATATCAAAAGAAATGTAATAACATGAGGCAGCTATGGCGTTCCATACTCGGTCATGTACCAATTACATACAAACAGATCTTATTATCTTGTGTGTAAATGTGTAACTTGATAAAGATGCAACAACATATTTATCTATAGATCTAGTGTCTATTTTATATCACTGTAAACAAACACAAACTTGTAAGAACGAGTATAAATATCAAACAACAACAACAACAAACAAAACAACAACAACAACAACAAAAACATCTAAAACAACAACAAAGAGGAAAATAAAAACAAATACAAAAAACATTTGTAATAGACAGAAAACCACTAAGATGTCCATTAGAAATAAAAATATACAACTCGAGTTCGTCTTTAATTAAGAGAAATTGAAGGTGTATATTTTGTGAACTACATTTGTATAACCACTTAAAGAAATAAATGTGAAGAGTGGTCTGTCATCGAGAGATGTGAAAGCCACGTCATGTTGCAATAGATTTCGAAAGTGAGTTAAAGTTCACCTCGTTCACCAGGAGCGGTTGAAATTAATTATGATAACACTTAGCTTTCCTCTACTTATTGTTTCAAGTTTGTGTCGCATTGTATATTTCCTCTACTTATTGTTTCCAGTTTGTGTCGCATTGTATCTTGTATCTTAAATTTACGGAATTCCATTAGAGCCATTAGCATATTCGCCTGTCAATGAACTAAATCATAATTTTGCGAAAACAGAAAAATAACGAAAGGAAAATTACAAACAAATGCGAACGTACGATGATGAAAACACGAAATGCGAAAACAAGATGATGAAACGCGAAAATACAATAATATAAATGCGAGAACACACATTTTTTTGTCATCGTATTTTCGCCTTTTCGCAATCGTTCTTTCGAGAATTTTTTTCACATTTTGAGAATCTGTAGTGCTTCCTTTAATATCTTTAATTATCTGCACATATGACATTTTCAAATATCTAAATCAAACTTTTAAGACTAGTCTTTGAGTTCCAAATTCTGTAACATCAATTGCTCGTTTTGGATTCTTTTGGAGGTCTGCCTTTCTTTGCACAACCGACTTAGTTGAGGATGTTGGCGCTCTAAGAGTTCTAAGAATTTTTAGAGATTTTGGTCTCTCTGTAAACAAATCTAATACCTCTGTCCTGGAGTATTTGATATTTTGAGAATTAAATGCTTTATTATTTATATCTGTGTTTGAAGCGTCCATTGCATTGTCACTTTTCACTTTTATTTCCACTCCAGGGCTACTCAGAATGTTTTGTTTTACAGGCTTCATCTTTGAATCGCTGGAAAATAGGAATCTGAAATTCGAGTTAGTTTTAAAAGGTAATTTCATGACACCGCCCGCCATAAGCGACTCTACTATTTTTGGTGATTCTTTTTGTTTAAGTGGTGGTCTTATATTCGGGAGACCAATTCTGCTGCTACCATTAAAGATATTGTTTGCGATATCTACAGGCACTGGATTAAAAAGTTTGGTTACTACTGGTACAGGTTCTATCAGCCAAGGTACTTTATCTTTTGGGGTTTCCGTAGAGGTAAAACTTCTGAAATCCGTGACTGAATCTTGAGTTTTGAAAATTGGGCCATCCGATCGTTGAACAGTAACTGTTGTCGATGTAGTCTCAGGAATTTTAGTCGTTTCATCCAGTAGAACTGTTGTCGCTTCCATGCCAGTACTGGTCTCGTATGTTTTTAAGTGTTCAGAATTTAAAATGATGGCTGGCTCCGTCTCTTTTGGCATTATAATTGGTGGGAGGGTTGTAGGGTTTTCAAAATTTGAAGGCAATATTGTTACGTCTACATTTATTTCTTTTCCGTCAGCAGCAATGTTTTGATTATTGTCTGCTTCACCTGATACCGAAGTAGTATGGCCTTCCGTTGTTGTGTCTTGCAAGACAGGCAAAGCAGCAGTACCTGTTTGATTTACAAGTTCACGTCTAGGAACAGGCGTGCTTTCGTAAATATTGTTATCGTTTACAACACGGGATTGCTGATTGGTGGTTGTTTCATATTCTCCGAAATTTATGCCAGACAACGTTGAATGTTCTGTCGGGAAAGCATTCACTGTAGTTGATGTTTGGATTTCATTAGTTTGCAAGCTGAAAGAAGTATGAGATAAGAAATAATATAAGAAAAACAGCGATAATGATCTGAGTGGGTGGAACTATTTAAACTTTAAAGTAATGAGAATTCATTTAAGTCTATCGGTAAGGGACATCTGATTCTTTCCCACCAAATTTGCGCTAGGTATTATTTCTACAAAACGTGGTCAAGTTGCTCTTGCTGCGTTTGTTTGTTTGTCTGTTTGTGGGTTTCACATATGTTTTGTTGCTGTCTAATGTCAAACATAAATATATTTAATGTTTGAGAAGACCTCAGATGCCCCACAGTGCATTATTTCAGACACGAGCGAATACTTAGGTAGGACCACCGCCGTGCCGCAAGGTAGCTGGATGGCTTCATCACATTGAAGAATCCAAAGTTCTTGGCGGAACACTCAGCGATGGTGAGCAAATGTTGTTAAAAGTAAACGACCTTAACTGTTCGACAAAGGACGCCCCTGAATGGATTGAATGAAATGAACAAATTGAAATATGACATTTCAAAAGACGTGCAGTCATGTGATAAAACTAATTATAAGCATATTTATGGTAAGACTGTTTACCTATTCATCATATCTCTCAAAACTCCCTCGGAGAGTACACGTAATATTTTTTCTTTGATCGTATAACCTTCTCTAGGTGACACGTGCATTTCAATATGTAAATCCTCGGAATGCTCTACAAATCTGAAATTAAACGACAATATTTTCATTAAACATGGCGTACATATGTATGTTTTTTTAAAGTCATCTTCGGAGACATATACATGTATTGGCGTGTCACGGTGAGGTCACGTTTCCGCTCCTCTGGTTAAAGCCGCGGTCTTACTTACTCCCGGCAGAGCCCATGACTATCCCGGTAAGCTACCGGGATGATCCGGGACGATCCGGGGTGAAAATATTGTTGCAGTCACACTAACCCCGGCAGTACTATGTTAATTCCCAACTAACCACCCAGGATGCGCTCCGGATCATCAAGGCAGAGCCCAGGTGAAGCTAAGGTTCATGCCGGTGCTTTCCCGGTCGTTCCCGGATGACACCGGAAGAGCCCCGGTTGACCCAGGCAGAACCCCGATCGATCAAGGCAAAGCCCCGGCAGAGCCCAGGACGATCCAGGCAGAGCCCCGGTAGAACGGTGGATTGAAAACGCGCGAAAATGATAACATTGATACATAATTTTTATTTAATATAATTATTTATGTTCCAGAATTGTAATTCATGATGATTTTCTGAAAAATCCTTATGCAAGACTGGATAGAAGGGAATGGGAAGGCTTTTAATACAAACAAGGACAATCATCGAAATTTGTCGTGATTCTTTTGAAATGAACCGGGCTCTGCCGGGGTTTTACCGGGATCAACCATAGCTCCATCGTCATTCTCCGGGCTCTGCGGGCATCCCCCGGGGCTGTGCCGGTATTCACCGGGGCTCTGCCAGCATTCACAGGGGCTCTACCGTATCTCTACCGGCTATATCATACCCCGGATCATCCCGGTTTGTGCCGGCAGAGCTACGGTGCTTCCCCGGTGTAACCCCGGTCGTTCCCGGCAGAGCTAAGGATGAAGCCGGCAAAACTTTACTTCCCGGATCATCCCGGACCACCCCGGTAATATTAAATATTTTATTCCATCGGGGGTTGAATGCCGGATGTTCCCGGATCATCCCGGACGTTGCCGGCAGAGTTAAGGATTGTACCCCGGTTGTTCCCGGTCGTTCCCGTAATACTACGGACGTCTACCGGGGCTCTGCCGGGATGTCAGTGAGAATTTAGCTTAAAATAATAGATGTAATATGTTCCGAACTCAAAGATTTGGCAAAACAACAACAAAAAATCAGCATGTTAAAGTGGATTGGTCTGTAAAACAATGAATAATTCCCCCCATTCATGTAAATGGATGGAATTGATTGTTCTACTTATTGAAATATGTCCAAAAACATTTAAATAATTATGTATGAGTCAATCAGTACATGTTATAACTTACAATAGCGATGCGTGGCAGCCTGCGAGTCCATTTTTGACAGGAAAGTCTGTTTCGACTAATAAACGCTTGACCACACTGCAGAAAATCTTTGATAAGTACATCCCTTCTTCCGTAGTAATATTTGGCGGTACATGATTACCTTACAAAAATATAGAATAAGACAGGCATCAGGAAATCTAGATACAATGGAACGTGTTTTAGGTGGTACATTGGAGCAAATAAATAAATAAATAAATAAAAATCTTGTCTATGAAAATAATATTAATGGAAGCATTCAAGAAAGGAATATTGGATATGGTTCTCATTATATCAATGAAATTTCAAAATCAAATAATGAAGAAAATGAAATGAATGGAGGCGGTCAAGAGAAATATATTGACGAATTAAGTAATGAAATATTTACCATGATGATGCTCATCATCTTGTGTAGCAAAACCATCATTTTGATGTAAATTCACTGTAAAATATGAAACATATTTGAGCCGCGTCATGACAAAACCAACATAATGGGTTTGCGACCAGCATGGATCCAGACCAGCCTGCGCATCCGCGCAGTCTGATCAGGATCCATGCTGTTCGCTTACAGACCCTATAACAAGTAAAGAACAGCATGGATCCTGATTATCCATTATGTTGGTGTTGTCATGACGCGGTTATTCTTGTTATTGTTTCAATATTATTTCAAACATTATATCATCATTTATCATTGAATTAAACAATTTATATATAGGACACTGTAAAGGCTCACTAAACCTGAACATTAATTGCTATCATTTTCACTTTTTAATTTTTTTTAAATGTTTGATACCCTGCTAAAGTTCCCAAATGTTTCTCGGTGGCCTTATTCTGAACCATCTTTTGTTTCTAATTAAAATAGTTATAGTGAATAAGTGATTTCTATGGAAGTCTAAATACCACGTTGTTTTCATTTTTGTTACATGTTTTTTACAAATTATTTCAGACCCAGTGCTATTTTCTTCAGATGATGACATTCGCATGTTGTACAATCATTATTGTAACATTTTTAAAACAAAACAAATGTTTGCCTTTTCTACAGAAAATAAAAGATATTCATTTCTTAGACATAGTGTGCCTTTAAATATTGTAGCAAATTTGGCAGCAACAACAACAACAGAAACAAATTCCACCACAGGATCTCAGAAATTCTAAATGCTGTGTTTCAATTATTTCAGTGCTGTTACTCCTTTGTCGGTTTCAGTGATCCCATTACTTTTAAAAGTTAAAAATTGAATAGCGCTTAAGGCGGTGATTTGGTGCGTGTTACATTTGTCTCACTTTGCTCTAAATCAAGCTAATAAAACCGAGTGTTTGATTTCATTTCTTTACGTTTTTCAATGATCTTTACTAATCTTGTCATTTCAAGAACAAGTTTCATGATTTTAACAAAATTTACATTATTTCTAATTGCATGACTCAAAGAAATACAAATGTACTTTCTTGTTGGAGTGATTTACATGCACAATAAACTGTTTCGAAATGTTTGTTTTTACAAATATACTTACAGAAGAAAGAAAGTCCTATAGCTGCAGCCACTGCCATCACTATGCTTAATATAAGGAAACCACATAAAACATGTCTACACACTTTGTCGCATCTTCGTTTCTTAACAACGTGAGAAATTTGATTTATTTTTGGCAATGTGTCCTCGTCATGCATATCTTGTTCCAATGATTTGGCAGCTGAAATAAAACAAATGTGTTATTAAAGATGCATAATTATTTTCATCGTTTATTGTTTTTGTGTCAGTATTGATCAATTCTTTCCCCCACCCGGGACCAAATAGAAAAATCCAGATGGAAGTTCCCGAATGCCTCCAAACGCTTTATTTCCGACAAGCAACACCAGTCATATCTAAGCTAGCACGACGGCATTCTCAAAGGAATTTTCAAAGTTAACAGTCGTCACTATTCCTTTCTATTCCTCAGTATACCGAGGAATGAGGGCTGTTTATCTACATGTAAACAATCATATAGAATCTTGACCGACGTTTATTACAAAATGTCCGACGGGAACCACATTATACCATTACAATAGTTAATAAGTCCACAAAGGAATGAAAATATATACATTTACCGGACCAAGATGTTTCACTTGACCCGTCCCAGTCCGGAATTCGGCAGTTTTGGTAAGCCATTATCTCGTGCGGGTCGGCGTACTCGTGCTCCAGATACGGTCGGATTGTAATCTCCGACTGATGCATGAGTGTCGTCATAGTTGGCCACTGTAACAGAGAGTTTCAGATTCTCATTAAAAGTTTAATCCAGATGATGTATATTTATAAAAGTTCATTTTAACGTTTTCTACACTATTTCTAAGTCCCTATATAATATAGCTTTTAAACAAAACATATAGTGGCGATGTAGCATATATATGTACAACTGGCGTTTGTTTGTCTTAAGAAGCTTGAAAAGCCGCATTTTTGGCGCCAAAATGTGGTATAATGTCAAATATCGTTACAATTTGACACTTCGTACACATAAGTGTCTTTATATGACTTATGGAAACCCCATATAAGTCTTCGAAAGTTACAGTGAAAAAAATAAAAAAGAGAAACAACAATAATCTAAAGATATTTTATTTTGCTTAATATTATTTGTGTTACAATTATTACGATATTAGGCGTACAGTACGTACACTATTTACCAAAAGTGATACCACATTTTGTTTTTGTAACAACAACAATACAACAGTGTATTGCATAGCAAAATGACTTTCTGTTGCAATGTAAAGGTATAACTTCATTTTTAAAGGAACTGCACTAGGGTCAAAAATTCTCAAAACATAGAATTTTAGATTCTTACATAGATCTGTGAAACACTTAAAATGGAAAAATTTGCAAAGAATTATAAAGAAATAAACTCAGAAGTAAAATGAAAACCGACGTTTTGTGCGATTATAGCCCGATTTGAGTGAAAGCGTTGCAACGCTCTTCATTTTATTTTTGATTATTTTGCAAATAAAAACGATGATTATTGAAAAACAGGGGGCGGGATGGAAAGATCTGAAAATTTGCACACAAGCTACTGGTCAAGACCTGCATCAAAAGATCTTGACACAAATCTTAGAAAACCATGTCCTGACTCTTCATGTCAAAAACCTCAGCGGAGCCCCTTTCAAGTAAAAAAAAAAAGATGACGGTGAATATGAAAAATGTTCAAATTATTTTACCGGACTCCATCAGAAAGCGTTTGTTTCCGTGTAATCAAAACCACACTTGTTTTTACAACTGAATCACGTTATGTTTGTTTTTTTAATTTGTAAGTTAAACTTCTTTGTTTATAAATATCCCTACTTTTGAAATATAGATTTGATATCTCTGCACCGATTGATAGATTTGGTGGGCGGGATGGGTGGAGGTGGTGCTTGGGCGAGGATATTGTTTTTCCGTCGGTGGCAGAAATTTATAATTGCACTTGTATGCCAAAATTTCGCAGTAAATTTTTTAACCATTATAGATAATTGCTTATTTACATACATAGATTGAAAGTTTGTATTCAGTTAAAATAAATAGCGGAAAGAGACATACTTAGCGGAAAGAGACATCCGTTAAAGTTCATATATAAAGTATAAAAGGAACCTTCGGGCTAAATGTATACGTCAGTATCGAGCCACTGTATCTATCATTATTATACTTTGACAGTCATATTTGCTTTTATTGCTATAATGGGAGGTTTTAACCTTCTTGAGGGATTAACACTATAGACACATGTGGCGATATAAATGATTTATGTGTGCCGAGCATTTCTGCTCGGCTATGCTCTATAACAAGAGCATTCTTTAAATAATCATTTAGAAAACTAAATTGTAGTTTAAACTGAATTGGTCTATACATACAATGGCCACATTTTCTATGAATATTTCGAAGTTTGATATTAACTACAGAAATGTATAATGTGGATATTTTTAATAAAATATTGCTTTAAATAAAAAAGAGATAAAATTCTATGTGGTTTAGTGTCATAAACAATTCTAAAAAGAATGATAATATTCTGTTTTAAAACAATATGATATCTGTTATATATAAATATAATTATGTAATTTCAATATTTTGGCAACTGAGAAGTGCAATGTACAACATGTAACTACCAAAAGAATTAGAAAATCAATAACAATACATGCATGCTATAAAAATAATAATAATAATAATAATAATAATAATAATAATAATAATAATAATAATATAAATAATAATTATAATAATAATAATGATAAATAAATAGAAAAATAATTATGTAGATAAATATTTTTTAATATGAAGATAAAACATAATGCATGGATATACATGTGAATGACCCATTAAATATAATTGTAATGAAACTAAAAACGGGCCCATTAAAATTTTATTGACATACTGATAACAGGTGATCAATAAATTAAACACTATACATTGAGCCAAGGACAAATATAAGATGTGAAATTGCAACGTTTTTGAATTACTGTAAATTGTGCTTCTTTTGTTGTCAGGAATATAGCAAGCTACGTAAAAAATCAAAATAAAACCAACTTGGCCTATGAACATTTTTTCCAAATTGTATCAAGCTATCATGTCATTTTCGACTGTGGAAACAGTGAAAATGTGTGTATGATTAAAAGAAACATCTGTCTCTGAGGCTTTTATTTTTACATGACGGTACTGAAAATATTTTTTCGAGATTAATGTTCCATTAACCGATAACTTGTCGTCCAAAATTTACAGAATTGAAAAATATTAATTTAAGCATCATATGTATGATATTAAACCATAAAAATGTGTTACAGGATCTTTAAATACGATAACTGTCTGCTTTTGCGGTATTATTCACCATATTGCTACTACGTGATAACGAAATAAGGGCTATTTTTGTATATTTTTATCTTTTTGGCAATTTACATGAATTGTACGTGCCGTTTGCAAAGTGTAAATCACTTTCTCTGTCCACTTCACAATATGTCACTTTAAAATACATTTTCAATATTTTCATAAAAATTAGCACGAATCTGGATGCATGCAGCTTTAAGAAATATCAATTCTAGTCAAGAAAAACAAACAAAAAAACATCAGCCCCCCCCCCCCCCCAAAAAAAAAAAAAAACAGCAACAAAAAATATCAGAAACCTTAAGCTACAGTCTCAGTTACATCCCGACAGAGCCCGATAGACGCCCAGGGTGATCCGGGAACGACCGGGTACGACCGGGAACAACCGGAGTACACCCGTAACTGTACCGGCAACGTCCGGGATGATCCGGGATGACCCGGGAACATCCGGCATTCGACCCCGAATGGAATAAAATATTCAATATCACCTGGTGGTCGGGGATGATCCAGGAAGTTAAAGCTTTGCCGGCTTCATCCTTAGCTCTGCAGGGAACGACCAGGGTTATACCGGGGAAGCACCGTAGCTCTACCGGCACAAACCAGATGATACGGGGTATGATATAGCCGGTAGAGCTACGGTAGAGCCCCTGTAGACGCCGACAGAGCTCCAGTAACTACAGACAGAGCCCCGGAGGTAACGCTACGGTTGATCCCGGTAGAGCCCCGGCAAAGCCCAATTCATTTCAAAAGAATAACGACAATTTGCGATGATTGCACTTGTTTGTATGAAAAACCTGCCCATTTCCCTTTTATCCAGTCTGGCATAAGGATTTTTCAGAAAATCATCATGAATTACTATTCTGGATCAATAGATAATATATATTAGAAATTATGTATCAATGATATCATTTTCGAGCGTTTTCAATCAACCGGGGTTCTACCAGGGCTCTGCCTGGATCGTCATCGACTCTGCCGTGGCTCTGCATGGATCGACCGGAACTCTGCCTGGGTCAACCGGGGCTCTTCCGGCGTCATCCGGGGAACCGGGGAAGCACCGGCATGATTCTTAGCTCCACCTGGGCTCTGCCTGGATGGTCCGGAGCGCATCCTGGTTGTTTAGTTGGGAACTACCGTAGTGCTGCCGGGGTAAGTGTGACCTCAACAATAATTTTACTCCGGATCGTCCCGGATCATCCCGGTAAGTTCCTAGACACTAACGGGAGTAAGTGAGACCGTAGCTTTATCTAATATACATGTAAGTACAGCTATGCGGATTAGAGATTGGATTTGCAGACATGCTTTATGTATATAGAAAAAAAGGGTTTTACTTTTGAAATTGTATTTCTTTTATAGTTAGAGTATGTAATTAAGATTAAATGAGTTCCACTCAGGTAAAAAAAGGCTTAAACATTCGGTCATTTTACAAAAAATGAAATGATTTATATACTGGAAAAATGGGTTGAGGGAATGATTTGATAATTTGCTGACGAGTTATTGGTTCTGAGCTACATCAAAATTAATGATTCACAAATTTTTGAAAAAAAAAAAATTATTTCCAGTCCCCTCATGTCAATAATTTCAGTGGAGTCCTTTTATGCATTACTATAACAGTATTTGAGTGTAACAATAACCATGATGATCTTACAACTTTAAAATTGAACTCCACTTCCAATCAAATTGCTTGGAATTAAAAGCAGAATGCATTAAATTTCAAAATTGCTGAGATTAAAAATGATAAAAATGAGAATAGAAAATACAAATTGTTTTACAAAAGTAATTAAGCAAACTTATTAAGAAGTCATATTTACCTTGTTACGAAATCTTTTTTTCCAGGTATTTCCCAAAGTTCCATCTTTGGAATGGCGGTCAAGCGAATCACACATATTGATTAAGGGACAAGACAATTAATTGTCCGATTTTTCAGTCGAAAGTTGTATTTCTTAACACATCACATACGAATTGAAAAAATGAACAGCTCGGCGACCTTTCGAGGTACAGCACAGCTTGATAAGAGAGACCTGTCCGTCAACTGCTAGTCAAAATCACAAAATCCGTTACTTGCTGCACCGACTGAATAAATTACGCAATTGTGATTCGCCTGTCTCAATTAACAAACTATCCTCACGTATTTCCAGCATTTCTCCTGTCAAATTCACTGTCTAAACTGTACCTAGTGCCGTACCCCATCACCTCCCAACCATAATTGAATAATAATATATCAATTAAGTGACCATTACAAAATATGTTTTATTTCTATGTGCGTAACGGACGTGACAAACGACATATTGTGACAACCTTATTAGTGCTGACTGCGGGTAACAATTTGCACTTGTCCAATTAAATGATAGATATATCTTGGTCCAGTTGTCAGTGCAAAATAACATAAATATATGTTACACAAAGAAAACAAAGCAAACCAGTGTCTAGCAGTGCAAATTAGGTAATATTTGGTTTGTATCGGCCATGAAATATTATTCAATTTTATTACGTCATTGTTAGTCACGTGTGTGTTAAAATTATGATATATTTTTGTTTGCATTTTTGTTTGAATTTTTTTAGGAAGTTTGTTTTTTTATATTCTATATCTGGATAGAAAGATATAAATTATTTGTATTTTTATTTTCTGAATTTATAGTACATGTCATTTAGAGGACTACTTTTTATAGCGGAAAGATTTATTTTCTTGCGTTAAATGTTTTAGCGTATGATTAATGTTGCATTATCCAGACCACTTAGTAGTCTAATGTAAAAAAATGATTTTACTGACAAATTATTGACTTGAAGCTGCTTTACCTATTATTTTACACTGGATATGTAATATTTCCTTTATTTTAAAACAATAAATGATATATGAAATTATTCATGCAGTTTTGCATAACACATTTTGAACTTCTACATTATCCAGACTCTTGTTTTACTATCAAGCACTGAGAAAAGTCGAGCACGCCGTCCATTTGACAGCTCTTGTTTTTAATGTAGTACTATTTAAAAGTGCAGTTACTTTAGAAAACTTGATTATTACTTTAAAGTGAATTGGTCTGCATTTGACACTTTTTCAATAAATATTTCAAATATTGTTAAAAAAATAGAAATGTATTATATAGATTTTCTTATAAAATACTAGTAAATATGTTTGATAAAGTGCTAAGTGATTCATTAATGATTATTTAATATGAATAATAATAATAATATTTTGCTCTAGAATAATTTATCTGCTCTTTGAATATATATCATATCGGATCATGTATCTTACACTTTGTGGTTTCTTGTTATGTCTGATACTAAATACTATTAATATATCATTTATAGTATTACAGACCTTCTAGTATAGACCAATTTACTTTAGATAAAGTGCTTGAATGGTTAAAAGATATATTTCATTAATAACTCATTACTGCATGTGCATTTTGTGAAAAATGGCTGTTTTCATTGAACAGTCTCCCGTTACAAGTTCAAATTGCTATAAAACTATAAAAACTGCTTCAATTCTAATCAAACTTGGCGCAAATGTTGACTAGACCATTGCCTTTGAAACAACATGTTCAAGCTTAAATTTCCTGTTACCATGGCAACGAGGGGACATCTCAAAATTGCCAAAATCACTTTTTGCGTTGAGTTTTTCCATCAAAATTGATTTCAAAGTGCTGCAACTTCTCAATGGATTGAGATAGAGTCAAAGGCTTTTCAGCGTTGGTTATACGTTACCTTATGATCGACCTGGGGTCATTTTTAGCCTCATACAAGTCAAAATTTTCTTCGCAAATAGAAGGGGCAATCCCCTTATGTATTTTTCGGATAAGGGGGCGGCGCCGAAAAAGTGGTCACCTTTTAAAACAACATTTCACAAACAAAAAACAAGTGTTGGGGCCTAAATAAGGCATTTTTCACCATTTGAAGCAGCAAAATGGGAGAGGGGGCGAAAACGGCGTTAAGAGGCGTGTATATCTGGTAATGGGTTAAAATATCATTATAAACATATTCAACATAATAAAGTTAAACTAATTTATGCTTCATTTATTTAATACTGAATTGCAATGTATAGATAAAACTATACATATTTCAATCTATAATACTGATAAAGAACAATACTGTTGTTGTTGATAACGCATACTGTATGCTCCCAAATACACTGAAATAGAAAAAAAAATGTTTCAAACATTGTTTCATTATTGTAAATCTTTTTATTATAATTAATTTTGTCTTTTGACAAACATTTTATTTAGATCCTCGTCAATATGTGTATTTAATCACAGTAACTGGTCCACGTTACCACGTATCAATTTAGGTCATTCATGGAACGTCCGCACTTAATGAATCCGGATAGCATGGTGCGATTTTGAATTTGGATGTAACCAAATATGACTAGATTTTGCACTTATTCATTCTATTTTCGAATATTTATATTACGACTTGACAATTTCATCAATAATAAAAACTCAGAGAAAATTTTTGAGAGGATATTGAATGAGTGTAAGCTCAATATTGAATTTATTGAACGAGTTGAATGAAATTTTATTATGCGAGCCTCAGTAATGAACTTACACGAATTTAATATTCTATTTATCACATACCAAAAAAAAAAGGACTGTATAAAGCGAAAAAGTCATTGACGCGCCTATAATATTACGCTAACATTAAGCGCGTCTTTATCCTATCAAGGGGCAGGACGTGAAATGGTTGCACACTTGGTTCAAGTGCGGAAATTGATTGCAAACTTGACAAAATGGCTACCGAGTCATGAATATTTACAACATTTGCACGTATTTTCTTCCAGTAAGTGGATTTGTATATTATTTTGAATTTTTTAATATGCCTATTCCTTAAAGCAATGTTTTTGTCACACTCTGTTTAAGGTCTCAGCTACATTGCTTCTGATATGACAAAGTTATTGAAGATATAAACTGGTTATGTACATATTTTGAGATTTGACAAGTGACAGTCCAGTGTGATTTTTATACTCATTTACTCGCATCTGTAAGTTTTAAAGTTCACCAAACAAGACAAAATATATATCTTTCAATACTGTGTAAATGTTTGGTTTGAATTTGCATTTTCCAAATAAAATTTCAATAAACGAAACTATCTTGTTCTAGCGCATTTTAGTTGCAAACTTGTAGTTCACGCATTTCTGATTGCAAACTTATCTTTTTCAATCAAATATTAAACTGCCAAATGATTCAACGAAGATCATATTGATAAGTCACAGATATTCCATGAAAATGCATTTCATACATGCAACTGTGTTTTTTTCACTTGGTTTTAAAAAATGACATTGAGGGGTTCTTTATTTAATTGTCCATTGTTATCATTTATTGGTACGGCCACTCCATGTCCAGCTGAGACCTTAAACCGAGTGTGCACAAACATTACTTTAAGGAATAGGCATATTAAAGAATTTTAAAATAACATACAAATCCAGTTACCTGAAGAAAGCACGTGCGAATGTTGTAAATATTTATGACTCAATAGCTATTTTGTCAAGTTTGCAACCAATTTTCACGCTTGAACCAAGTGTGCAACCACTTCACGTCCCGCCCCTTGCCTATGGGATTAGAACACTTGATCCCAGCAGTATAAACAACAATAAATCATATGATTTAGGCCTTTGAGCCAAATTATTGATTCACTGAGGTTTACTTTAAGTCCAAGAGCCGGGAAGATGATAATGCAACAGAAGAACAACTAAGTATAATAGATATATAAAATTTAGAATATCATATTCTAGGAGATGTCAATATAAACTTTTATCCAATGAATAAAAAGAAAAAATATGACAATACAAAATGGGGTGATTTGATAACGAAATATGGTTTGAAACAACTTATCACAGATCCTACTAGGATAACAAAACGTACCCAAAAAATTATAGATCATGTTTATACAAACAGTAGCAGATATATTATTGAATCGTTTGTTTCTGATACCTCATTAAGTGATCATTATCCGGTATTTCAAGATCAACGAAAGCATGTACCCGATTGATTAATGAACATAATTCGATTAAATATAGATGTTTTAAAAACTTCAATGAAATTGATTTTCAGGTAGACCTTGCTTTATCCGATCTTGAATTAGTCGAGCACATAATTAATCCGAATGAATCCCTTAGCTTATTTTACTCCATTTTAAATACTATCTTGAAAAAGCATGCACCGATAAAAGAAAAACGTATCAAACGTGAACACCGCCCGGAATGGTTTACTGATGAGATAATATATCTTATACATGAACGCGATTACTATCATAAAGTAGGGAAACATGAACAATACAAATTGCTCAGAAATAAAATAACATCAATGATTAAAAAAAGTAAAAGAGATTTCTTTAACAATGCTATTAAAAATAACAAAGACCCGGCACTTTTATGGAAAAATTTAAAGGACGTTTCAAATCTAGATAAAAAAATGTTATATTACAATGCCAGGCAGACTTGTGACATAAATAAAGAAATTTGCGGAAATGTAAATACTATTAATAAATGAATTAAACAAGTATTTTGTCAATATCTCGAATGTCATACATAAAACAAAGTTTTCAAATACAAATTTTTCAAAATTAAAAGAAACTTTAGACCAAAAGCTAATATATCATGAATTTAATATTGAATTAATTACACCGTTTGAAGTAAAACTTATTATTGAAAAACTGAATATTAAAAAATCTACAGGATTAGATGGAATTGGACCAAACATCATCAAATATTGTGGAGATTATATTACACCAATAATTGCATCAATTATCAATAATAGTATTAAATCTAATATTTTCCCAGATGATTTAAAAAGAGCTCGAGTTATACCTATTTTTAAATCGGGGGATAAGAATGAAGCAAATAACTATCGACCGATATCAATTTTGTCAACTATATCCAAAATATTTGAGCGCCATATTGCCAAACAAATACACTCATTCTTTGAAAAAACGAACATAATTCATAATAAACAATCAGGATTTCGTAAAAATCATTCATGTAATACTGCACTCATTAGTTTAATAGATACTTGGTTAAAAGATGTTGACAGTGGAAAAATTATCGGAACTGTATTCTTAGACTTAAAGAAAGCCTTTGATTTGGTTGACCATGAAATACTTTTGCATAAACTTAAACTTTATCATTTTTCTGAAAATGCCGTTAAGTTTTTTAAATCATATATTTCTAACAGAATACAACTGGTTAAGATAGGTAATCTTCAATCTCAGCCAATGAAAATAATTTCCGGTGTTCCACAAGGCTCAATATTAGGACCTTTATTATTTCTAATATACATAAATGACATAGCTTT